AAAAGGTTTCAGCAGAGCTTCCACACTAAGACAGACTAGGAAGAAAGGCCTGGTAATCTACTTCAGAAAATCAGCCTATGAATATATCTTATGGATCATAATAATCCAAATCCATTGTGCATAGAGTCTGCATGAGTTGAGACTGAAATGAAGACAGCTAACAACAAGAGAGGGTTTCACACTCTCATTGTGGTATCTCTTTGTGGTTTGGTCTGCATTTCTGTGATGGCTAATCATCTGAGGACTTTTTTATAAGCTGCATTTGCAGTGAGGGTTGTCTGCCCAATTGTTATGTCCCCTAATGTGATGATGCCTCTGAAGGACTTGAAGTGTCTATACTTACTTGTCAGTTCTCTCCTAACAGCACAGTAATGACCATTGCTTAGTGCTTATGGTTAGCCTCTCAGTCATTCAAAGCCTTCTTGAGCACCCACTGAGAGCCAGGCACTGTGCTGGGTGCTAGAGATACAGCAGAAAAGCAAGATCTCTCCCCATTGAGAACGTGGTGGATAAGGGCATGGCTCTGGGTTTGAATTCTTACCTTCTCACCTTCTAGCAATGTGGCTTCGTGCAAGGTGTCTCATCTTGCCCTGCTTCTGTCCTCATTTATGAAATAAGGTTGCTCTGAGAGTTCAATGAAGTATTCCATGTGAAACAGTTAGGACAGTGTCTAAGGTATGATTCAATAGATACATGTTATTGCTAAAAGTGAAAGCAGACATAATTACAATAATTACTGGGTATTGAGTGATGATGGGAGAAGTACAAAGTATCATGAAAACACATACTGGGGCCCTCCAACTAAGACCAGGGTCTAGGAAAGGCTACTCAGAGAAAGTGATGCTTAAATTGAGAGGTGGAGGATGAAAAGAAGTTGACTGGAGTAAGGTGAAGTATGTGATGTATTTGTAACATGTGAGAGGAGCATTCCTAATGGAATGCTTATGCAAAGGCTTGAAGGCAACAGAAGAGAGCATGGTTGGCATATGTGAGAGACTGAAATGTATTCAGAATACCTAGAATAGCACTGTCCAGTAGAACTTTCTGCAATAATAGAAGAGTTCTGTATCTGTGCTGTCCCAAGTGGTAGCCACTAGCCACATTGAGCCTTTGCAGTGTGGCTTTGTGACTGAATAACTGAATGTTTAACTTAGTCTAATTGTAATGGATTTAAATTTATATAGCCACTGCGACTAGAGAACTACCATATTGGATAGCACAGATCTCTAGTATGAAGTGCAAGATAGAGGTTGCAATGTGAGATGAAGGTAGAAGGGGAGAAGGACACAGGGTTGGGGTGCACAGTTTTCATTTTATTCTAAGTGCCATGGGAAGCCATTGGGAGGTTTTAAGCCTCCCAATGAGGTCCTCTGATTTTCTTTTAAACAAGATCAATCCAGGTGCTGTAAGGAGAATGAATTATGAGGATGCAAGTGGTGAAGAGTGAAGTAGGGACACCAAGCGAGAAATGATAGTAGCTTGAATCAGGTGGGTGGTAGAGATAATTAAGACAGAGACAAGTTTTGGAAGCATAGGATTGCTAGTGGATTAGATTTAGGGAGTAAGGGAGAGGGAGAGAAGCCTTAGGGTTGCTTATATGGTGGCTGTGTCCCCAAGCATAAAGGTTGATTACAGACTGGGGCAGGGCCAAAACCAAAACAAACCCCTTACCATTGAGTCAATTTCAACTCCTAGCAATCTTACAGGACAGAGTAGAACTGCCCCATAGAATTTCCAAGGCTGTAATCTTTATGGGAATTTAGTACCTCTGGTGGCCTAGTGCACAAGGCGTTTGACTGCTAATCAGAAGGCTGGCGGTTCAAGCCCACCAACCACTCCTGGGGAGGAAGATTGGGGAAGCTACTTCCATAGTAATACTGCCTTGGAAATCCAAGGAGGTGTCTCTGTGAATGGGATCAAACTCCATGACGACAGTGAATGAGAATATGGAAGCAGACTGCCACATCTTTCTCCCACAGAGTGACTGGTTTCCAGTTTTCCTTAGCAGCTGAACTTTAACTGCTGCATCAGCCAGGGAAAAGCCAAACCAAACCAAACTCACTACCACCTATCCAGTTGATTCCGACTCATAGTGACCACCTTTGGGTTTCCCAGGCAGAAAATCTTTTTTTCCCCAAAGCTGTTATTGTTATGTGCCATTGAGTTGGACCCAACTCATGGTGAGCCCTCCTTGGGTTTCCGAGGCAGTATCACTACTGAAGTAGATTGTCCAACCGTCCTTCTGAGGAGTGGCTGGGGGTTTGAACCGTCAGCTTTCTGTTTAGCAGTCAAGTGCCTTAGGCACTAGGGTACCAGAGCTTCCCAGGCAGGGAGACCTATTTCTGGTGTGCAAGCCAGCCTCCCTGCCTCTACCTGCTGGCTGGTGCTGGAAGCACCTTTCATTGGGGGAACTCCAGGGCTGTTAGAGTCCCTGGGGAGGAGGCTGGTAAAAGGCCACAGAGGTGGGAAAGTCCCCAAAATTGCTGGGGGGGGGGCTGTATAAGTGGGTGTCTGATGATCAGGGACTGTCCTCTACTGGGGGGCACTCCACAGCAACTCTCTCTGTCTCTTGATGGGGCAGCTTGGGTCCCAGTTCTGAGCTACATGACTGCTGGCAGGAATATGGTGGGGGGCAGTTATCTCAGGGGAGGGTAGTGGGTAGGCGTCAGCGTAGTGGGGTGGGAGTCCTCCACCCCAGACAAGCTCCCACCCTTGGCCAGACCTCAGCACCCAAGACCCGCCTCTGCCTGTCCCCCTCAACACCGCCCCCCGCCCCGCCTCACCTAAGGGCTCAGGGGGAAGGAAGGGGCATGTTTCCCCAGAGCAGGGTGGGGCCGTCTAGATGGTCAGTATCTGATGGCTAGGCTGGCCTGGCGGGAGAGAATTGAAGCCTCATTCCCCAGGGTACCGGCTGGGCCAGACGAGGTTAGGGTGAGGAAGACAGAGATCACAACCAGCGAAACGAGGGAGGTTCCTGCTGCTCTTCGGCTGTCAGCGCGCCACCGCCCACCCCACTTCCTCCGGCAGCCTAAAGCGCTAGGAAGCACTGGGTTCCCAGCACGCAACTCGCCACGCCTTGGCCTCTGCTGTGCGGGGTAAGTCCGTAGGGCAGCTAACGCCTCCTAGGGCCCCCAACCTGACAATGAAGGATGGGGAGGAGACACCCTGTGGGCTTCTGGCTTCCCAGCTCCAAGCCAAGGTCTACCGGCAGCTCCGGCCCTCTCTGCTTGGTCAGGCTCTGTTGCCAGGGTGGCCTGGGGAGTGGTGGAGGTGGGGTAGGGGCTGGCCTGACAGCTATTGCTGCTGGGGCTTGGGAGTGGTGGGCTATGGCACTGGGGCAGAATGGCAGGAAGGGGTGAGAGCATAACCAGGCTGAATGGTCTCTGGCCAGGGAAGACACAACATTGTAGGTCCAAAGATGGTGAGTTACAACTGCATGTCAAGGCAGATCCCCCTGCCTCTGTGGGAAAATGGCCCACACAGGTCCCTGGGGTCTAGAAGAGCCTGAGACAAGGCCAAGGGGAGTGGACCAGGCCCTTCCCCGATTCCACCTCTCTGCTTCCCATCCTTCAGCTCTTTATCCCTGTGGTCTCCTCACCCACCTCTGACTCTTTTCCTACTTCTGCTCCTGCCCACTGAGGGGCACAGGAGTTATCCCCCTCCCCCAGACTGGGGCCCCACCCCTTGCCATGTGATGGGAGGTTGGTTTCATTTTTCCAGTGAGGGTGAGAGTGTACTGTCAGCTGAGCCCAGCCTGGGGCCCAAGGTGAGGCAGCCAGCGAGGGGCTCTCTCACCTTTCTGAAGACCCCAGAGACCCCCAAGGCACAGAGAGGTGTAGTGGGATACCTTAAGAAATGACTCAGACTGAAAATACAGAACCAGGCCTGAAGGGTTTTGAGAATTGAAGAGGAACATCATGGTAGATTAAGATAGTTTTAGTCCTGCCAAGGGCTGTGTGTCCTTGGGAAAGTCACTTCCCCTTTCTGAGCCTTAATTGTCCTGGCAGCACAGGAGACTGTTGAACTAGACTAGCAATTTTCTAAGGAGCTCCGGTGGCCTAAGGCATTAGACTATTAACCAGAAGCTTGGTGATTTTCCAGCAGTTTTCCCTGAGCTCTCCACTTCCATGGCAAGAGGTTGAGGGAACGGGTCCTACCCCAGCAACTGTACTTTGATCTGTTGTGAGTATTGGCTTCTGAGCAAAATGTTGTTTGGAGAAAGGGTTTTGCTGTTAATGCAAAAGTTTGTTACCCCCTGACCAGGGTCTGTGGCTTCTCTGATTTTTGGAAGTCCTAGGGGAAATTGAGGTGGTTAAATTTGTGTGTCACCTTGGCTGGGCCTGGTTGAGTGGTTGGGCAGCTGAATGTGGTTATTCCCCATGATGAGATTGGTGATTAACTCCATGGTGGAATCTACTGGAGCAGCTGAGTAGCTGCTTTGGGTATGGGGTCTGCTTCCTGTATATAAGAAACAGCTTTGGGAATGGTTTCTGGCTTATGGCGTGCTTGAACCCTGCATGTAGCCGAGTTGTCAGTCTACTTCCATAGTGATACTATCTTGGAAACCCAAGAAGGGGTCACTATCGGTCAGATCTGACTTGATAACAGTGAGTTTGATGGGTTTTTTTAGGGGGAAAGTCAGGGATTTGATTTGCATCTGATGGCTTCTGGCTCTTTTTGTGGAACAATTCATAGAAGCCAGCCCTTTTGAGTTCCTGTTCTTTACCTGTACCAGGATGTGGGGCCATCTTCATGCCACAGGCCTCCCTCTCTCTCCTCATCTACTGCCTTCTTTCCTCCAGCTCTCTCCCCCCTATTGTTGGTCTGAGCGCCCTCCTGCACTGTGAGTTGGTCTACTTGCACTCAGCTTTTAAATAATTTCTATTGCAGGCCCCAGCCAGACCTCCCACTCCAACACATACCAGGAAGGAGAGGGGACCTCCTGACATCTGCATCTCCACAGAGATTGGAGTTGGACAGAGCAGCCTCCTCCCACTAGGATGACATCGCCCTCCAGCCCTTCTGCTTTCAGGCTTGAAACATCAGATGGAGGCCAGGAAGATGGCACCAAGGAAGACAAAGGAAATCTGGGCCATGGGGATGGGCCACCTCCAATGGAGTCACCATTCCAGGGCGAGGACCGGAACTTCTCCCCTCAGATCAAAGTGAACCTTAATTTCCGAAAGGGAATAGGTGCCAGGTAAGGAAGTAAATGAGGTGGGGGAGAAGAGATCCACTCTCCTCCAGGAGATCTGTGCTTCCTCTGCAGACTCAATGAGTCCCTTGGTCTGACTCAAGAGCTCGGCTGGCTGAACTCTGCTTTACTCTCTGCGGTTGCTCTTTCTGGAACCTTCTGGCTTTCTGCACTCTGAGACCTTGTTCTATTTAATAGGGACACACTCTTCTAACTGCCTTTCGCATCCCCCTTGTTTGGGCCCAGACTCCTCCCCTGTTAGAGCCTCTGTGGGGGATGATAGTAAGATCCATATTCTAGTCATGGTAGAGAATCAAGGAGATCTGTAATTTTCCAGGCATTTCTTGGTTCTACTTCATGGCTGAAACTATCCCCCAGGGAATATAGACTTGGAGTATTGGGGGCAGTGACTTCTGCAGTGAGTCATCTGCTCTCTGACTTTCCTGGTGGTCTCTCCACCAATTCATATTATGTGAGCCCGCTATTTTCTGGAGTCCTGCTTCCAGTCCAGTGGGAGAGCTGACCCTGGCATCCCCCACCAACATGAGGCCTGCCATATGAGGCAACAGAGTCCTCATGAGCTAGGCAAGATTACCAGGGAAACCTCTCCTTTCCTCCATCATACCTGAGATGTGACTACCCTCTTTGGCCTCATGGGCTAGAGCCCTCTGTGCTGTTTGGGTTGGAGCCAAACTCCTTCAGCCCCAGGGCAGCAAAGGATGAAAGTATGAAGTTTTTGGGAGCTGTGTAGCCTATCAGTGTCTCCATCTGTGTCCTCATCAGACTTCTTTATCCCAGGACCATGATGCCATTCTGATGACTGGAAGTGCTTTGTCCAAATGGCTTACTTCCTGTAGCCAGACTCCCCAGAGGGCTCTCTCTAGTCAGCCACAGATACTTCTTGGTCATGCTGTGGTCATGTGGCCTGTGAGATGGATGCAGCATGAAGCAGATATGCAGCCTTGATCACTTGACTGCTAACCAGAAGGCTGGCGGTTCAAACCCACCAGCCACTCCTCGGAAGGAAGGTTGGGCAATCCTACTTCCGTAGTGATACTGCCTTGGAAACCCAAGGAGGGGTCGCTATGAGTCGGGGCCGACTCGACGGCATACAACAACAACAGTGATCAGGAGGCAGTGGCTTGTTCTAGAAAAGTCATGCGGGTACAACAATCATCCCTACTTATCAGAGAGCCACAGCCACTAAACCCTCATCTGACTAGCCTTTTCCAGGAAGATGTGAGGCTGGGACCTGAGGGTCCTCAAAGCATCCAAGGCCCTCCTCCTGACTTATGTTTGTCCCTTCATATCTGCTGGTCATGGTGCCAGGAGTCCTGGGGACAAGCTTCCCTCCTGTGAATAGTGGCATTGCCCAGAAGGAAGTGTTCTATACCCTTTCCCCTCCCCAGACACTTAGATGGCATTGACCTACAAGGCCCCATTCAGGGTCTGTGGAAGAGATTTCCCAGAAGTGAAGCTTCTTAGTGAGACTCTTGGTAAGTCAGTGCTGGGCACACCTGTTACCCTAAGACTCTTGGAGAAATCTCTTGCTGGCCACCTTAGAATCTCTCTAGGGGTTAGGAGTCAGGGTCTGGAGTTTGCCCCTGTCAGAACCCCAGTTCTGCACTGACCTGTGTGACTTTGAGCAAGTTACTTTACTTCCATTTTTGTGTAAATAGTTATTCCTGATCCCTAGGACTGAAATGAGTATTGAAGATGATTATTCCATGGTTAGTCAGTAGGTGGCTTCTAAGAAGAGGAGGGGCTATTCTCAGTTCCCTTCATTGAGGCCAAGGATACGTACAATGGCTCTCAGACCCAGACCCAAGCTCCAGAGCTACTACAAATTGCCCTTCTTGAAATAGACCTGTCGTTTATGAAGTGGGATATTGAGTTTGTTGTGAATAAAGCATCAAAGCACCTGGAAATGCTGAAAATATCTGTGATGACTGGAGTCCTGGGAATGCTTCAAATTAGTACCCTGGACAGCCCTTTCTCCCTTCCCCCATCCCAGGGCACTGAGGGGGGGGGGTTGGGGGGGGATTGGGTTGGGTTGGTCTCCTTGATCTGCCCTAGAAGGTTAGAGATGGTTAGAGATCCCAGAAGAGCCTCCCTCAGGACTCCTGGGCCTGACAAGGGGTGGAGGGCCAGTGCTTAGATAGTCAGAGGCCCTTTTCCAGCAGGAGTCACAAACTAACTTCTCTACAGCCAGCCAGACCCAGACCGCTTTGATCGCGACCGGCTCTTCAGTGTGGTCTCCCGAGGAGTCCCGGAGGAGCTGACCGGGTTGCCAGAGTACCTGCGCCGGACTAGCAAGTACCTCACAGACTCAGAATACACAGGTAGGCCCATCCTTTAGGGCCAGATGTAGTATTCTTTGGCAGAGCTGGGGAGGCTGGGTGAGCTCCTGGGTCAGGAGCTAAGAGACATGTGTTCTCACTAGCCTGCCTGCCACTCCCTGGCTGCTCAGGAGATGGCTGCTGGAGGCTCTGTGGACAGAGCCAAGACAGCTGGGCCTCCTACTTCTACTCAATGCACTGGGCTCCTGACCTACCTCATTACCCCCAGCCCCATTTCACTGGCTGAGTGGATAGTTGAGGACACCCTTGGAGCATTCTTGTATTAATCACAGCATTGTTGAGATATAATTCACACACCATATACCTTGTAAACCTGAGAGCATTCTTTGCAGAAAATTTAAGTATCTTTAAGGTTTGGGCGGGAGCTCTGGTAGCACAGTGGCTAAGGCACTTGACTGCTAACCAGAAAGCTGGCGGTTCAAACCCACCAGCCACTCCTCGGAAGGAAGGTTGGGCAATCCTACTTCTGTAGTGATACTGCCTCGGAAACCCAAGGAGGGGTCGCTATGAGTCAGGGCTGACTTGACGGCACATAACAACAACAACCAGGTTTGGGCTGATTAGAAAAATAATAGTTGTGCACTGCAGAAGACTCAAGCAGAAAGGCAATGTATAAAGATAAGGGTAAAACAGTCTGTCATCTTGAGTCCCTTGTTAATTGTTTGGGGTACATCTTTCCCGACTTTTTTTAGTACATTAGACATGTAGTTACATAAATGGGGTCTTATCATCCATATTGATTTGTAATGTGCTTCCTCCACCTCCCCCCACCCCACCCACCCAACTTAATACATCTTGGAGCACTTTCCATTTCAGTATATTTACTTCTTCCTTATCCCTGGGTGGTGCAAATGGTTATTCTGCTTGGCTGCTAATTGAAAGGTTGGAGGTTCGAGACCACCCAGAGGAACCTTAGAAGAAGAACCTGGTGATCTACTTCTAAAAAATCGGCTACTGAAAACCCTATGGAGTATAAGGAGCTCTCATGGCATAGTGCCTAAGGCACTTGACCAGAAGGCTGGCAGTTCAAACCTAGCAGCCACTCCTAGGAAGGAAGACTGGGCAATCTACTTCTGTAGTGATACCACCTTGGGAACCCAAGGAGGAGTGGCTATGAGTTGGATCTGACTTGATGGCAGTGAGTTTGGTTTGGTTTTGGTGAGGGAGTATAGGTCTACTCTGACACACGTGGATTACTGTCAGTCAGAAATGACTCCACAGGAACTGTTTTTGCTTTGTTTTGTCTTTGTTTTTCACTTTTAACTCGGTCACTTTAACAACTGCAGAGTTTTCCATTGTGTAGATTTACCATAATTTAGTTAACCAATTCTGTGGACCAGTAAGCAACATCATGATAAACAGAGAAAAGGTTGACATTGCAAGGATTTAATTTTATTTGGATGCACAGTCAGTGCCCATGGAAGCAGTAGTCAAGAAATCAATGTGCTGCAGTGGGCAAATCTGCTGTGAAAGACCTCTTTAAAGTGTTAAAGGGCAAAGATACTACTTTGAGGACTAAGGTGCCCCTGACCCAAGTCATGGTATTTTCAATTGCCTCATATGCAAGTGAAAGCTAGACAATGAACAAAAGGCAGAAGAAGAATTGATTACTTTGGATTAATGTTGTTGGTGAAGAATATTGACAACACCATGGATTGCCAGAAGAAGGAACAGATCTGTCTTGGAAGAAGTATAGCCAGAATGCTTGTTAGAAGTGAGGATGGTGAGACTTTATTTTACACACTTTGGTGATGTTATCAGGAGGGACAAGTCCCTGGAGAAGGACATCATATTTGGTAAAGTAGAGGGTCAGTGAAAAAGAGGAAAAACCTCAATGAGATAGATTGACACAACAGCTACAACAATGGGCTCAAACATAGCAATGATTGTGAGGATAGAGCAGGACTGGCAGTGTTCTGTTCTGTTGTACACAGAGTCACTATGAGTTGGAACCAACTTGATGGCACTAACAACAATTCTTTGTTGATAGCTGTTTAGGTTGTTTATAGCTTTCACCTACAACTTTCTGTGTGCTGGGTTTCTCTGTGTTAAATACTTCATGCATGTTATTCTACTTGATCCCTACAATAGCCATGGAAGGGTTATTTCTATTTTACAGTGAGAAAAACGGAGGTGAAAAGAGGTCATGTGATTTGTCTGAGGAGACAGAGCCGTTAAGTATGGGAGCCACTTAGAGATACTGCTATGGATGTCTTTGTATAGACATCTCTGCACATGGGGTGAAACTTGATTTCTAGGGCAGAATTTATAGTCGTTTTTAATATCTGTTGGTGTTTTAATACCTGTTGACTGATGTTTAATACCCTCCAGCATGGCTATGTTGACCCAGGCTCTCATCAGTAGGGTATAGCAATCCTTTTTTACCCTCCCAAAGGGAACTTTGGGATCTTGAGATCTGCTGCACAGACTGGCAGGCAGACCAGAGGCTTCAGGTCTGTGCATCCTCTGTGCATTCTCCACATCTCCTCCCCTCTCCTCTCCCACAGAGGGCTCCACAGGGAAGACATGTCTCATGAAGGCTGTGCTAAACCTTCGGGAGGGCACCAATACCTGCATCCTGCCTCTGCTGCAGATTGACCGGGACTCTGGCAATCCATGGCCCCTGGTCAACGCCCAGTGCACAGATGAGTACTACCGAGGTCATAGTGCCCTGCACATTGCCATTGAGAAGAGGAGCCTGCTGTGCGTGAAGCTCCTTGTGGAGAATGGGGCAGATGTGCATGCCCGGGCCTGTGGCCACTTCTTCCAGAAGAGGAGCCAAGGGGCTTGTTTCTATTTTGGTAAGCAAGCCTTTCTTGAATAAATTGAGGTGTAGAGAGGTTGAAAGGAGCTCTGGGGGTGTAGTGGTTAAGGAATTTGGGTGCTAACCAGAAGGTCAGTGGTTTAAACCCACCAGCTTCTCTGTGGGAGGAAGATGAGGTAATTTACTTCCATAAAGATTTATATTCTTGCAAACCCAGTTGGGGTCACTATGAATCAGAATTGACTCGATGGTAATGGGTTTGGTTTGGTTTTTGTTTAGAGGGGTTGAGGGCTTTGCCTGAGGTCATACAGAGTGTAGCAGAGCTGGTACTTAAACCCAGGACTGCCTGGCACTGATGCCCATGCTTTTACCCATTTGGCTACCTGCAAAAGCTATTTGCCTTAAGAGCTGTTTTATCTTTATCTGGCCAAGGAGGCTTGACACATACCCAGGGAAAAGGAGCTAGGACTGGCATGTAGGGGGATTGGGCAGACAAGGCCTGACTGCTGAGTAAAGGGATGTCCATACTAGGCATCAGTGGGCCTGGGCTGCAACAAAGAAAAGAGAGATGGGAGATGGGATCCTTGGTTGGCCAGACACTGTTTCATCCACTTAGCCTTGGGTCAGAGCAGGACAGGACTGCATCTGCCAGCACTCCTGGGAAAAGGGGACAGTTGCCCTGAGCAGGGATCATCCTCCCCTCACCATGCATGCCTAGGTGGGCTGAGCTCCCTAGCCCCAGTGCTGAGGCAATACTTCCTTCTCTCCTTTGGGTGCTGTGACCTGGTTCCTGGAGGCTTGGCCTTCTGCTCAGAGGAATGTGAGAAGTAGGCACGTATAAAAGGGAAGCTCAAGGCCCAAGCTGCACCCTCACCCCCAGGTGAGCTGCCCCTTTCTCTGGCTGCGTGCACCAAACAATGGGATGTAGTGACCTACCTCCTGGAGAACCCTCACCAGCCGGCCAGCCTGCAGGCTGCTGACTCCCTGGGCAACACAGTGCTGCATGCCCTGGTGATGATTGCTGACAATTCAGATGAGAACAGTGCACTGGTGATCCGCATGTATGACGCGCTCCTGCAAGCTGGTGCCCGCCTCTGCCCCTCCGTACAACTTGAGGACATCACCAACCTGCAGGGCCTCACACCCCTGAAGTTGGCTGCCAAGGAGGGCAAAATTGAGGTGAGTGGCTGTCCCTCCCCCCTCCTCACCTCTCCAGGAAGCAGCAGGAGTTACCAGTGATTTTTGCAGAAAAGTGGGGGTGGGAGGTCTCTAGAGCAGTAGTCTCTACACTTTTTGATTAAACACACCTATTTGTAAGAAATAAGGAGCTCTGGTGGCGTAGTGCTTAAGGCATTTGACTGCTAACCAGAGAAGGCTGACAGTTCAAACCCACCAACCACTCCTTGGAAGGAAGGTTGGACAATCTACTTCCGTAATGATACAGCCTCAGAAATCCAAGGAGGGGTCACTGTGAGTTGGATCTGACTCAACGGCAGTGTGTTTGGTTTTGGTTTGGTTATTTAATTTTTTTTAAAGTTTTTTTAAATTAAGATGAGAAACAAACATACATGAAGGTTTTAATATTTTATTCCTGCTTCCCAGTTTCTGAAGCATCTCCTGGGGTGTGTGCATTCCACTTGGTTGTCTAGAGATTTGCCTGTGTGATCTGTGTAAGCCACATCCAGGTCAGGAGCTTCTTTACCCCCATCCTCATTTGCAAAACCAAATTGCTTCTTACTTGTTGGAGTTAGGTAGTCCTTTCTACATCTGCTGAAAGCTCCAGACTCTGAGCACAGATGTGCACAAATATGCATTCCTGAGAGCCTCTAATCCTAAGGGGCCTTGAGGACCACTGGGCCAGGTGTGTCTCTGCCATCTGAGGAGCCCAGGAAAGGCACAGCTGTAGGCAGGAGGTGGGAAGGAAGAGACAGGCTGGCTGCAGGCCCTGGGCATATGTAGGTGAGTGGTGGAATGTCTGTGTTGTGGGTGAGCATGTGTGGACATTTGAGAGTTAATACATATAGAGTCATGTGTGTCTGGAGTATGTGTGTTCTGCTGTAGCTCTGTAGTTGGTGAGCAGCATTTTAGGGCACTGAGTGTTTCCAGCCTCTGAACGTCTGTGCTGGGAGGCAGCCCAGCCAGGCTCAGGCAACTTGCCCTGCAGATTTTCAGACACATTCTGCAGCGAGAGTTCTCAGGGCAGTGCCAGCCCCTTTCTCGAAAGTTCACTGAGTGGTGCTACGGGCCTGTTCGGGTGTCCCTGTACGACCTGGCTTCTGTGGACAGCTGGGAGGAGAACTCAGTACTGGAGATCATCGCCTTTCACTGCAGAAGCCCGGTGAGCCTGCAGGGATTGTGGGTGTGAGGCATGGGCCAGGCAGAGCTCCCTGCAAGGACCACTCTAGCCATATTCTTTGTGCTGTGGGGGTATGGGGGTGTGGCTGCCTATCCCGGCAGGTATCACCCTGACTCTAGCTGCTGGCTCACACTCATTACACACTTCAGTTCCAGCCAACCAGGGGTCATGTCAGGGTCACAATGGCAACCATCAAGGGCCTCCCTGTTGACCAGCACCTGCTACACCTAGTCTAGAGTAGAGAGAGTGGCTCTTGGTCACTTAATAGCCATGAGGGCTGGAGTGCAAGGAGGAGAGGGGTCATTCGGGGCTGCTGTGGGTGTAGGAGCCTGCGCCCCACCCTCTCCTCCATTTCCTCTGCCCTTACATTGAGCCTGCCATGAAATGAGCTCTCTATATACACTTGCTGAACATACCCATGGCTGTCCTGCTTCCACCCCAGCACCGACACCGAATGGTGGTTTTGGAGCCGCTGAACAAACTGCTACAGGCAAAATGGGAGCTCCTCACCTTCAAGTTCTACTTCAACTTCCTATGTTACCTGGTCTACATGATCATCTTCACCGCTGTTGCCTACCACCAACCTACCCTGGAGAAGGTAAGGCCTGAGGAGGGGGCACATTCTGGGGGAAGACTTCCTGGAAACAACCTTGGATGAAGATGAATCTCAGATTAGAGTGGGATTTGCCCAGGCTCTTACACAGCCAGTAACAGTACAGAAGCCAACCCCATCATAGTAATATTATTACTAATCCTAGTAGTTTGTACAGTACTTATTGAATGCTTACCACATATGAGAAAGTATTCTAAGTAATTTACATGTGGTCACTTATTTAATGGGTAGTGCAAACAGTTAATGTGTTCAGCTGCTAACTGAAAGGTTAGAAGTTCAAGTCAACTCAGAGGTGCCTTGGAAGAAAGGCCTGGTGATCTACTTCTGAAAAATCAGCTTTGAAAACCCTCTGAACACCGTTCTACTCTGACATGTGTGGGTCATTGAGTCTGAGTCAAATTGATGGAAATTGGCACTGATAACTTATTCAATTCTCCCATTGACCCTCTGAGATGAGGAACCATCAGTATTCCCAGTTAATAGTTGAGGAAAGGGAAGCACAAAGAGGTTAAGTAATTTATTCAAGTCAGTGCAGCTTGTGAGTTCTAGAGATGGGATTTGAAGCTGGCTCTAGATCCCATGCTCATAAACACTATACAAAGTGCCTCACCATAGACTGGAATCCAGGGTTTCTGCCCTGGAGCCCATGTTCCTTCTGCTGTTCTGAGTGATCTCTCTATAGTTCAGGCCTAGAATGGGCCCTTGGATCCAGCTCCCAGAGGGCAAGCTGTCAGACAGAGGACTCACAGCCCACTGTCTTATCTGAGTGTGTCTTCAGCAGGCCTTCCTCCCCCTGAAAGCGACAGGTGGAAACTCCATGCTGCTGCTGGGCCACATCCTGATTCTGCTTGGGGGGCTGTACCTCCTCTTAGGTCAGGTGAGGATTCCCTCCCCCCACCTCTCTGCTTCTTCCCCCACCCCATTTTTCCAAGAAGCAAACTAGAATTCTGCTACAGAGGCTTACAGCAAATTCACTGTAACTCCTTACTAGTGGGCAAACCAAATCCTATGTCAGGTAGCACCCAGACCAATCTTCTGCAGTTGAGGGGTATGGGTGCTGACCTTTTGCCATGCTGTGATTTCTGGGGTGCCTGTAGTATAGCCAGTGGCTTCTGTGGCAGTGCTGGCTCTGTCCTTCTGGAACTGCATCTGGAAGCTCCTCTCCCAGGTCCCTCTGTGGGACACTTCCTACTTAGGGACCACAGGAGGCTGAGGGCAAAAGGGGTCCAACCCATCTCCCTCTGCAGGGCCTCTTCCATTGAAAAGGCTGGAAATTTTCAGGACACAGGCTGGCCACAAGGGCACCGAGACCCTCTTGGAGTGGGCAGAATTAACCCAATTGGCTGCAATAGAGGGTGTGCTCTGGGAGGCCAGGTAGGGGGAGTGGAAAGAGTGCTCCTCTTTGAAGCTACCATAGATTGCTGGATTCTTATTCTGGATCTGCAGGGAACAAGGAGGCCCTGACACTGTCTAGGTGTCTACTCCTTTTAGAAAGAGTATCCAGACCATTCTGAGCTAATTAGAAGGATTCATGCATCCTCAAAAGTCAAAGCTGTAGCTCCTGAGGGGGTCCTGGCTGGAGGCCCCCACACAGCCAGACCGGCAGTCCCTCAGTCCACAGGCAGGGAGCATCATGGGGGTGGGAGCTCCTGTCCCAGGGACCGCACACAAGTTCACATTCTTTTGTCTTCTTCCCACCCTGCAGCTGTGGTACTTTTGGCGGCGCCGTCTGTTCATCTGGATCTCGTTTATGGACAGCTACTTCGAGATCCTCTTGTATGTAGGGCCTCACTCCTCCTCATCCACTGTCCAAGGGTTGGAAGAGACAGGCATGGCAGAAAGCACCAGGGCCCTTTAGAGGCAAGAACACAGGGGCCAGGGCATTGGGACCAGAGTGGAACCGGACCCAAGAGTATGGCCTATCCTTTCTCCTGGGGCTCTTTATGCACCCATCCTTGTCAATTACCACCATGACCATGATATTTACATTTGTTGACACTTATTAGGCACCAATAGAACCTGGAAGGAGCTCTGGCAGTGTAATGGTTAAGGCATTTGGCTGCTAACCAGAAGGTCAACAGCAGTTCGAACCTACCAGCTGCAGAAGAAAGATGAGGCATTCTGCTTCTGTAAAGATTCATGGCTTTGGAAACCCTCTGGGGGTCACTATGAGTCAGAATCAATTCAATGGCAGTGAGTTTGGTTTTCTGAGTAGATCTTGACCTCTTTACATGTATTACTTTATTTAATCTTCACAAACACTCTATGAGTTTGGTATTATTACCATTATGCCCATTTTATGGGGAAGGGAACTGAGACCCACAGAGTTAAATTACTTGCCCAAGATGGATGGGTATTCTTGGTAGACCTTGGTGTCCGATCCTCCAACCAACCCTTTCTGCTTATGGACAGCTGCTCAAGGCATCAGACTGGGGTGAGAGAGGCAGTGTCAGTGCTAGCCAGTAGGGGCAGAGGTACCCAGGAGCTGACCCAGACCCTCCCCCATGCAGCCTACTCCAGGCCCTGCTCACAGTGCTGTCCCAGGTGCTGTGTCTACTGGCCATAGAGTGGTATCTGCCCCTTCTTGTGTCCTCTCTGGTGCTGGGCTGGCTGGACCTACTCTACTATACACGTGGCTTCCAGCACACAGGCATCTACAGCGTCATGATCCAGAAGGTGAGAGGGAGATGCAGCCCGGGGCATCCCCACAGGTAGGGCTGGATGCAGCAGCCCTGTCCAGCAGTCAGACAGGCAGAGGCTTTCCCCCATAGCTAACCTGGGTAGAGGAGAGCCTGAGCGTGTCTACCTGGGTATCATCCATCCAGACACTCACTGCATGTAAGCGTAAGCATGAGCCTGCACACCCATGATTTCAGGGGTCTCACACATATGCACACATACGTACATATGTGTGTGCCAGCATTCACACAGGAACACATGCATCACTGTACACAATGGAACAGAAGATAGAGAAATAAGCTCACTGGTGTGTCTGTGCCCTGGAGCAAGTGGGTATATGTGTCTATATTCATTTACTTATTCAATAAATATGTAGGGAATGCTTACTATGCACCAGTACTCTTCTAAGTGTTGGTATTATAGCAGTGAACAAAATAGATAAGCCCTTGCTCTGTGAAGCTGACATTCTAGTGGGTGGCGTAGTGCCTAAGGCATTTGACTGCTAACCAGAAGACTGGCGTTTCAAAGCTACCAGCCACTCCTCGGAAGGAAGGTTGGGCAATCTACTTCCATTGTGATACCGCCTCAGAAACCCAAGGAGGGGTCACTATGAGTCGAATCGACTCGATGGCCGTGAGTATGTATGATAAGAAAATGAGAGAAAATTTCAGAATGCTAAATTCTATGAAGGAAATATATAGGAAAATCGGATGCAGAATACTTTAGCTATGATGGTTTGGGAAGGCCACTCTGAAGAGGTGACATTGAAGTTGTGACCTGAAAGACTGATTCAGCCATCACAGAGCCAAGGCTGAAGGGCTTTATGCAGAGGGAACAGGGTTAAAGGCCTCCTTGTGGTTGGGGACAGAGAAGACCAGGGTGGCTGGAGAAGAGTGAGAGAGAAAACAGGGCAGAGAGTTGAGGAGGAAGGTAGAGGTTAGGGGCCTTGTTGGTCATGGAGGGGTTTGGAGATCCCTGGAGCGTTTTAGGAGTCCTTGGGTGGTGCAGTGCGTAAGGCATTTGACTGTTAATCAGAAGACTGGTGGCTCAAACCCATCAGTTTTTCCATGAAAGGAAGATGGGGCAATCTATTTCTGTATCAGATACCCAATGGGGGTTGCTATGAGTTGGAATTGACTCGATGGTAGTGAGGTTTTTTTGTTTTTCTTTTTTTGAGTGGGGGGGCATACAAATGGTTGAGCACTGGGCTGCTAACCAAAAGTCTAGAGGTTTGAGTCTATCCATAGGAGCCTTGGAAAAAAAAGACCTGGGGATCTCCTAAAAAAAAAGCCATTGAAAACCCTATTAAGCACAGTTCTACTCTGACATGCATGAGGTCACTGTGAGTTGAAATTGACTCAATTGCAACTAGTTTGCTTTTGTTTGTGGAAAGTTTTAAGCAGAATGATGTCATCTGATGTGGATTTTTAAAAGATCACTTTGCTCAATGTGTCTGTACACATGTTGTATGCATGTGTGGGGCATGTGCATGGGTACCCGTGCTTGGGGTTGTGCCTGGTGGCTCAGTCTCTTACCCCAGCTCCTGGGCACATGTGTTGCAGGTCATCCTGAGGGACCTGCTCCGCTTTCTTCTGGTCTACTTTGTCTTCCTTTTTGGCTTCGCTGTAGGTAAGGCCACCCCTTGAGCCCCACCTATGCTTTGCCCACAATATACCCCCTTAGGGCTCCTACCCAGGCTAAGGACACCATTCTCTCCCTCCCTCCCTCCTGCAGCCCTGGTGAGCCTGAGCAGGGAGACCCAGGGCTCCGAGGCCCCCACAGGCCTCAATGCTACAGATGCAGTGCATCACAAGGTAGGACAGGACACAGAGGATAATGTGACCCCATATAGGGGCATCCTGGACGCCTCCTTGGAACTCTTCAAATTCACCATCGGCATGGGCGAGCTGTCCTTCCAGGAGCAGCTGCGTTTCCGTGGGGTGGTGCTGCTGCTGCTGCTGGCCTATGTGCTGCTCACCTATGTCCTACTGCTCAACATGCTCATTGCTCTCATGAGTGAGACTGTCAACAGCGTTGCCACCGACAGCTGGAGTATCTGGAAGCTTCAGGTGCCACCAGGGAGCCACCTCTCCTCCTCCCCAAGGACCCAGCTGAGCTGGGCCCACCTGACTGTGTGCTGAGTCTGAGTCTCCTTCATCAATTGATGGAGAAGCCTTGGCTCTTTATAGGGCTGTTGTGAGAATTGAATATGTTCATAGATGTAAAGCATTTGGACAGTGCCAAGCACATAGTAGTAGATGGTCAGTGTGTCTGCTATTATTATCAATATTATTATAATCGAGTATCAGTTGAATCCCTATTACTGGTAGGCTTAGGCGCAGTGCTGGGTGCTGAAGACATAGCAGAGAACAAGGCACAGTCCCTGCCCTCATGGAGCTTATATTCTATGTTCATCTATATGTAAAATGGGATCGGTTTGGTAGGGGTGTGAAATCCCAGGCTGGCTCAGCCTGGAGGAGTTAGGTGAGGAGGACAGAGTCCTCTGTAAGTAAAGAAGCTAATATGACACCCAGACACCCACGTACCATGGAAGTAACAGCTCCTCCCTGATTGTGGAAGGGTCAGGGTGGGTCTGGGAAAAGCCTTGCCTGGGGTGCTGGCTCTGCTACCAATTAATTGTTGCCTCTTGGGCAAATCCTTCTCCTAACTCACTGTGTGTGAGTGCACAGGCACATGTCTGGGACTGTGCAAATCAAGATCTATCCAGAATGTTAGGGGATTCTGGAAGCTGTAACAATGTAATAGCAATAGCAAGTAATCATTGAGCACTTGCTCCCTGGTGTGTGTTATCCTCGTTCTACAAATGGGGAAATGCAGATTCAGAGAGAGTCAGTGCCCAACACCACATAGCTCATAAAATGTTGGAGCCAGGATTCAAAGTCACATGCTTAACAGTCTCTGGTTATACTGTAAAGTGCTGTGGTGCACCTTCCTGCTCCCCTTGTCCTGTGTATCCCCCTTCCTCCAGGCAGGGTCCCAGACCTCTTTATCTGATGCATCCTTTGTCCCCAGAAAGCCATCTCTGTCCTAGAGATGGAGAATGGCTACTGGTGGTGCCGGCAGAAGAAGAAGCGGGCAGGGGTGATGCTGACGGTGGGCACCAAGCCGGATGGTAGCCCTGATGAGCGCTGGTGCTTCAGGTGAGTAAAGTGGGCAGGGGGGACACCAGGTGGGATGAGGTGACCCAGTATCCTTCAGGGAAAGGCATAGGAGTGCCAGCCTCCTTGCTATCCTGTCCCCCGTGCCCACCAGAGCCTCTGTACAGTCTGCCCACTTGGGGGTCTTGGGTCCCTTTTGGAGGACAAAGCAGGGCTGACCCTTTGGCTTATGGAGTCTCAAAGCTGCTGTGTGCACACTCAGGGTGGAGGAAGTGAACTGGGCTGCCTGGGAGCAGATGCTGCCCACATTGTATGAAGAGCCAGCAGGAGCCCAAGTCCCCGGTGAGTGGCCATGGTGGCCTGAGGGGCAGTGGTAGTGGGTGTGTCTCTGCTTGGCCTGAAGCCTCTCTTTCCCTGTACCTCCTCCGCAGAGCCACTGCAGTCCTACTCTATGCTTAAGACTGTGCTTCCTCCCTTCCTTCCCACACCAGCCTCCCCACTGGTCTGGCTGTTAGTCATTCCTCCAACTCAACCCTCACATTGCCCCCACTGCTGGCCCCCTTTTCTCTCTGATAAGCTGCACTTCTTTGTTCATTCAATCGGCTACTGAATGCCTGCCCCAGCCATGCCTGGGTTGAGCCTGCACACCTAGTGGGCGAACACGTTAGGAGTAGTTCCTCCTGACTGTCCCCTGCTCTGTGCCTCCTTCCCAGCCTACAGCATGGGAAGCCTTTCTCTGAGCCCTTCTTAAGGGTCCCACTTTTTCCCACTTCATACCACCTTCTTCCATTCCTGTCCCTACACTGCTCCCTCCTACCTCAGAGGCCTGCTCAAGGATTAGCTCTCTTGATAAATGACGTGCCCTTTCTTTCTGGAATCTTTAGAAGCTCCTACCTCATATCTTTGGTTGGCTGTCCTCCTCCCCTTTCTCTCTCTGTCTCTTGCCTGACAAACTTTATTAGAGACTTGCACATTTGGCCCTAACCACCCCCATACACACACCACCCGCCTCAAATGGCCCCTGAATCACCCATGAGCCCTGCTATAGAGAGGCTCTTCTGGGCTGCTTCTGCTCCATGGCCTGTTTGTTTCCCAGGTCCCTGTGTTCCTGACCCTAGCCTCTGTCTGCATGAGGCCCTTACATACATACCTATACCAAGAGGTGTCCTACCTAGGGTTCCTTCTCTGTATATCCTTCCCTCAGAATCTTGCTGCCCCATTACTTCAGTGTCAATATTCCAAAAGTCAAGTTTGTAGCCCCAAGCATTTCACTTCTTCATCCTATAAGCACTGCCTGTAGAGAGGCCTCCAACTCAACACCCCCAATAAGAACAGCCCTGGAAGCTTTACCAGGTAACATATGTGTAAACCCCCACCGTCTAAGTTGGAGGCTTTGAGGGAGCTCTGGTAGCATAGTGGCTAAGACACTTGCCTGCTAACCAGACGGCTGGCGGTTCAAACCCACTAGCCACTCCTCGGAAGGAAGGTTGGGCAATCCTACTTCCGTAGTGATACTGCCTCGGAAACCCAAGGAGGGGTTGCTATGAGTCGGGTTTGACTCGATGGCACATAACAACAACAACAACATGTGCCACCCACTCCTCACCCTGCCCTTCCATCTCCCACTTGGTCCTCACCTCTCAGCAGTCCCTCACCCCTCTTCCTGACTCTCAGTCTCCTTTTCCTGTACCACTTCTGGAACTGTCCAACCTGTACCTCTCTGGATCTTCAGACAAGTCTTCCTGTTCCAGACTTATCCCACTGCAGTCCCTCTAATAGACAAAAACTACACACAGACCAGAAACCACAATGCCCTCCACTGCCTGGAGACCTCACTCTTCAGTGTAGAGGTGAAGGCCCCAAACTGCTATACAAGCCCAAAGCTCACCATCCACAGCTCCATTCGTGGGATAGCCTGTCCACAGTGTTCTTTGCTTTTTTGCTTTCCTGGGTTCCTACCTCTGCCAGAAGGTCCTTCCCACCCCTCTGGGTGTCCAAGTCAGCCCTCTCCACTATGGGACACATCTCTCTTCTCTGAGAACCCTAAGCTCCTAACCTTGATTCCCCTCCTGCTCTTTACCACATCTCTGGTATTCTTATCTCTAACACACAGCCTGTCACTTCCGCAGGCTTTCGGCTCCTGAAGGGGATCCTGTTGGCCTCACTGTGCTTAGCACCATGCCTGACATAGGGAAGGGACCACTGAGGATGTGCTGTGGGAAGAGGGAGGCAGGAAAACTGCTAGGGACTCCAGGGCCACTGGCTATACACAGTGTCTGGCATGGTTTTGTGGCTGTGGGTCCTCCTGTTTCTTCAACACAGCCCTCCTGGGGACACATCCCAGGGGCCAAGCTCCTCATCTCATTTATAGGCACCACAAAGAACCCCACTGTGGCCCCCCCAAGTGACGAGGACTGTGCCTCAGAGGAAGACCATCTGCCCCTCCAGCAACTGGGGCCCCACTGATGGCCCAGACACAGCAGGAGGCAGCAGGACAGAGAACACAGCAGCAGAATAGCCACACCTGCTGGCCCCAGTCCATTCTGGTGAAAATACAAATTTTTTCCCATCACTAATTCTTCTGGAAACTTTATTTGAGTAAAGTTACTGGGCCCCTGGCTGGTGACATTTGCGTGTCTCAGTGTGCACATAGCTGTGTCTGGGGCTGGGCTTCACCTCCCAGGAGACCCTCACCTGGCACCCCCAGTCCCAACCTGTCCTCTTCCTGGGCAGGCAGCTAGCCATGGTGCTGTGCCCGTCACTATGGCAGACACATGAGGTGTGGACATGGGCGAATACAGTCACCTCTCCTCCCTCTCCCACTGCTACTAGGCACCCCTGAAAGCTGCCTCTAAAATGTCTTTCAAACCTCCAGTCTCCTCTGTACCCCTCTGCTGAGTTTAGGCTTAGAGTTTTGCTTTCTGTTCCCACTGGGCTCCTCCTGTAATAGAGCTAAAGCACTTCATTTGTGGAAGGCTGTGGTCCACAGTGAGAGCCCTAACTCCATATTGAGTCTTGACATAAGTTCAGACACTGTTTTTTTCTGATCATTAAACCAGCAATGTGGCAATGCCTAGATGAGCCTGGAACAAACATAGGGAAGGGCAGTTTGTCCTCAGGAAGAGTGTGTTTGAAAGTAGATTATGCTTATACAAATAACTAGGGAACTTGCCTGAGTGTGTCCTTAATGATTTGTTGAAAATAGCTGAATCCTATGAGTCGGGCCGACTCGACGGCACATAACAACAACAACAACAACAACAATCTAATTTAAAGATTGGGGTCCTGATATTGTCTTGTAGCCACCTTGTGGCTATGACTAAGGATCTCATGGTCATGAGTCAGACCCTGCATTAGAACCTAAAATCTAAAGTCATTTGGTTTGCAGAAGGCTGTGGTCTACTGTTGGAACCCTAACACCATCTTGAGCCTTAACCTAAGTTCAGATCCCATTTTGAGTTCTCTATGTTACTTTCCCCAGTGTTTCTGATTTTGACTCACCCATGTAGCCTTGATAATTCCAGGAAAGCCTAGGAAGAGGCAGTAGCTATGATAATGCTGGGAACACCCAGGAAGAGGCAGAGTGATCTCAGGAAGAGCAGATTAACTAGAGTACAGAAAAGGGGCTCACACAAAGAACTAGGGAACTTGCCTAGGTATATCTTTTTAGATATGGCACAGGACCGGGCAGTGTATTGTTCTGTTGTACATAAGGTCGCTATGAGTCAGAGCCCACTCTAAGGTACCTAGAAACAACAACATCATTTTAGAACAAAGAAGACATTTTGATAAAGGACAGGTATCACCCTTATCTTGTTCCTGCCCAAACTATTGTTTAGGTTAGAGGACCAATAAAGATCCTCTTGACTATTACTGAAAATTTATACCATTCATTATTTGAAAGAAACAATCACAGTGATTCAATAATTTTAGCATATCTATGGAGAGATGAAATTTTCATTGATTTGTAATTGTTCTGATGACATATCTGTCCATTTGCCACCTTTGTTTTCCTTTGTTGCATGTGCCAAATAAAAATCTCTTTCCTTCATTACTATAACTTTGTGGTTATTTTCACTTAGGACAACCCAGACCACCACATAGCCAGGTGCTCAAGCCCCAGAACTCAATCCTGTAACCCTTGTTTATCTCCAATTGTGTACATATCCCAATTATGATATTTTCCCAGCTTCTGGAGTCCACCTGCAACAGTGATACCACCAATTTGCTACCAGTCATGATTCTGTGATTTCCTTTATTTTCTGTGACATATAATTAGCCCCATGGCATTGACTAAATGGACACCATTTGGCATCTGTACCATGTACATGCTGATGTTTTTTTCTCATTCTAGATGTTTGTCTGTTTTGTTTTTTTGCCCTGTCTAGGGCTTAATAAGGAGCTCTGGTAGCATAGTGCCTAAGGCACTTGACTGCTAACCAGAAGGCTGGCAGTTCAAACCCACCAGCCACTCCTCAGAAGGAAGATGGGGCAATCTACTTCTGTAGTGATACTGCCTCGGAAACCCAAGGAGGGGTTGCTATGAGTCGGATCTGACTCCACGGCAGTGAGTCTGGTTTTGGTTTTAAGGCTTAATGAAGGGTCTTTGTACAACATGTTGATGCTTTTGAGTTGTGGTGTTGGTGAAGAATACTGAAAGTAACATGGACTGCCAGAGGAACTAACATCTGTCCTGGAAGAAGTACAGCCAGAATGCTCCTTGGAAGTTAGAATGACCAGACTTTGTCTCACCTACTTTGGTCATGTTGTCCCTGGAGAAGGTAAAGTGGAGTGTCAGTGAAAAATGGGAAGGCCCTCAACAAGATAGATTGACACCATGCCTGAAACAATGGGCTCAGGTATAGCAGGGATTGTGAGGCTGGTGCAGGACCAGGCAGTGTTTCGTTCTGTTGTACACTATGAGTCAGAGCTGACTCGACGGCACCTGACATAGAACATGTTTGAATCTGGGTTTTTCCCCCAGCACAAATGATATAGTCTATGGAGGATCCAAATCTATCTTTTGCAGTGGAACCCCTGGGGGTTGAGGACTGGAACAGGAGCCAGAGAAGAGGTGGCTTGTAAATGAACATTTACATTTACATTAGGGAGATGCACTCTTCGGAGAGATTAATCATGGGAGAATAGAAGGACTGTGTATGCACAGGGAGCCAGCTGGCGGGGGGGGGGGGGGGGGGACGGGGACAGGAGTGCATGGGAGGAAAGGGCACATGGAGGAGGTGCCTATGGGGAGGAAGTGGGAGGAGTGTGGGAGATTGCAGATTGTCCTGAGACAAAGTGAATGTGAACTGCTATATGGAAGATGAATTTCACCCAAATCACAGTAAAATTTGGAGGAAAAAAAAAAAACAAAACAGCAATGGGGTCTGCAATGCTTACATATGTAAGCCACTGGAGTACTCAAGAGAGGTCCAGCCTGGTCTTTAGACATGGTATTTCCCAGCTTACCAAGCAACAACATGTGTTTCAAAGTTTCTACAAACTTGGGCATTGCTTATTCCCTCCCTGCAAATTTATTGCAAGATTTGGTGATTAATCCAACATGTGCACAAACACAAAAAAATCAGATGACAACACTTGGCATAGTGAAGCATTGCATTTGATTTAGCACCCCTCACCAACATGCACAAACCCAGGTTAACAAAACCTGAGTCCCAGACCAAACATCTGCAAGGAAGCTGACCAAAGAGTTTGCAAATAGAACAAACAGAACCAGAATTCCATTCCACAAACTCAAGGGACCCCAGGAGGTAAACACTCTTATATCTTGAGCCCATGTTTTGCAATAGGGAAAAGGAGACCCCAGATTCGAACAGGTTCAATAGAGACACTTTTATTAAGACTTGGATAGGACAAAGACAAAAGAAAGACAACCATCCAGGATGAGGGAAACCATCAGCATGTACACAGTACAAAAAGATGAATAGAGTGCTAGCAGAATCACAGCCATGGGCTAATTATATATGATTGAAAACAAAGGAAATCATCACAAAACCATGATTGGTGGCAGATGGATTCATCATTGTTGTGGGTGGGACTATAGATCAGGGAAAGGACCATGATTGGAATAAATACATAATTGAAGATAGAAAAGGGTTACAGGATTGGTTCTGGGCCTTAACTACCTGGCTAGGTGGTGTTCTGGATGTGACTCCTGACCATTCAGCCTGAGTCTTAGCCACAAGGTGGCTACCAAACAATATCAGGACACTAAACTTAATTTAGGAGCTCTGGTAGCATAGTGCCTAAGGCACTTGACTGCTACCCAGGAGGCTGGCGGTTCAAACCCACCAGCCACTCCTCCGAAGGAAGGTTGGGCAATCTACTTCCGTAGTGATACTGTCTTGCAACCCAAGGAGGGGTTGCTATGACCTTCGGTTGGACTGGAAGGCACATAACAAACTTAATTTAAATTAAAAAAGGATACACTCAGGCAAGTTCCCTAGTTTTTTCTGTGAGCATAATTTACTTTCCACCACACTCTTCCTGAGGGCAAACTGCCTAGGTTTGTCCTGGAACTTCTCTATTCATAGCCACAGTGTTTGTAGGTTAGAAAGAACTTAGCTGGTATATGAACATATGTCAAGATTCAAGATGGAGTTAGGGCTCCCACTATAGACTACGGCCTTCCACAAACCCAAGAGCTTTAGAATTTAAGTTCTAATACAGTTTAAGTGTGCCTCTCCAAGACCTTTACTAAGTCTTGCTGTGTGTTTTTTTGGTGTGAGAACTCTTAATGCTTTCTTTCTGTTTGTTTGCAAACAATTGTTATTTCCAGGTGTAGGTAAGACTGCCTTTGATAATCTCTTAAAGAATATGGGGCGGAAATACCAGTTGGACTTATAAGAAACTGAAATTAGATTCTAGGATACAGCTCTTGCATATATCTGAAGATTGCATTTTACCTCCTCTAGGAGCCCTGGAGGAGCTCTGGTAGCATAGTGCCTAAGGCACTTGACTGCTAACCAGAAGGCTGGTGGTTCAAACCCACGAGCCATTCCTCGGAAGAAAGATGGGGCAATCTACTTCCATAGTGATACTGCCTCAGAAACCCAAGGAGGGAGGGGTCGCTATGAGTTGGATCCAACTGGAAGGCACATAACAACAACAACAACAACAGGAGCCCTGGAGGAGCTCTGGTAGTGTAGTGCCTAAGACATTTGATTGCTAACCAGAAGGCTGGCGGTTCAAGCTCACCAGCCACTTCTCAGAAGGAAGACTGGGTAATCTACTTCTATAGAGATATCACCTCGGAAACCCAAGGAGGGGTTGTTATGAGTCTCAATCAACTCAACAGTAGTGAGGTTTTTTTGTTTTGTTTTGTTTTGTTTGTTTTTTTGAGGAGTGTTTGGTTGTATCTGCAAGATTTATAAATTTCAGGAGAAGTTACACATGCTAAAGTCTGGCCTAATAAGTTTTTCTTTGCCTTTTTTTTTTTTCTTCCC